AAAAAAATACATGAAAAGATGCTCAACACCATGAGTCATCAATGATGTGCAAAATCAAAGCCACAGTGAGATTCCACTTAACACCCAGTAGGATGGCTGTAATTTTTGCAAAAAGAAAAATAAATGTTGGCAAGGATGTGAAATAATTAGAGCCCTCATGTATTGCTGGGGAAATGTAAAATGGTACAGTCACTGTGGAAAACAGCTTGGCAGTTTCTGAAAAAGTTAAACATGGAATTACCATATGATCCAGCAATTCCATTCCTAGGTATATACCCAAAACAACCAAAAACACGTGCTCAAAAAAAAAAAACAAAACTTGTACAGAAATGTTCATAGCAGCATTGTTCATAATAGTCAAAAGGCAGGAAAAAAACAAATGTCTATCAGCCAATGAATGGATAAACAAAATGTGGCATATTCTTTTTTTTTTTTTGAGACGGAGCCTTGCTCTGTCGCCCAGGCTGGAGTGCAGTGGCCGGATCTCACCTTACTGCAAGCTCCGCCTCCCGGGTTTACGCCATTCTCCTGCCTCAGCCTCCCGAGTAGCTGGGACTACAGGCACCCGCCACCTCGCCCGGCTAGTTTTTTGTATTTTTTTAGTAGAGACGGGGTTTCACTGTGTTAGCCAGGATGGTCTCGATCTCCTGACCTCATGATCTGCCCGTCTCGGCCTCCCAAAGTGCTGGGATTACAGGCTTGAGCCACCGCGCCCGGACATGTGGCATATTCTTATACAACAGAATATTAGTCATAAAAAGGAATGATACATGTTACAGCATGGATGAATCTTAAAGATATTAGGGCCTACAGGAAAGAAGCCAAAAACAAAAGACCACATCTTGATCCCATTTATATGAAATGTCCACAAAAGGCAAATCCATAGAGAGAGAAGGTGGATTAATGATGGCTCACATCTGTAATCTCACGATTTTGGGAGGCCAAGGCAGGAGGATCAGTTGAGCCCAGGAGTTAGAGACCAGCCTGGACAACATAGTGAGATGCTATTTATCAAAAAAAAAAAAAAAAATCGGCCAGGCGCGGTGGCTCAAGCCTGTAATCCCAGCACTTTGGGAGGCCGAGACGGGCAGATCATGAGGTCAGGAGTTCCAGACCATCTTGGCTAACACAGTGAAACCCCGTCTCTATTAAAAAATACAAAAAACTAGCCAGGCGAGGTGGCGGGCGCCTGTAGTCCCAGCTACTCAGGAGGCTGAGGCAGGAGAATGGCGCAAACCCGGGAGGCGGAGCTTGCAGTGAGCCGAGATCCGGCCACTGCACTCCAGCCTGGGCGACAGCGCGAGACTCCGTCTCAAAAAAAAAAAAAAAAAAAAAAAAATTAGCCAGGTATAGTGGTCCATGCCTGTGGTCCCAGCTACTCAGGAGTCTGAGGTGGGAGGATTGTTTGAGCCTGGGAGGTTGCCAGGGGCTGGGGAGGAGACAAATGGGAGTGAGTGTTAATGGGTATTGGGCTTCTGTTTAGGGTGAAGAAAATGTGCTGGAATTAGGCAGAGGTGATGATTGCACAACATTGCAAATATGCTGGAAGTCATTAAATTATACACTTTAAAATGGTTAAAATGGCAAATTTTATGTTATTTGAATTTTACATCCATAGTAAGATTTTTAAAATTTATTTTATTCTCACTCTGTCACCCAGGTTGAAGCACAGTGGTACTTCCATGGCTCACTACAGTCTCGACTTCCCAGACTCAAGCAATCTTCCAACATCACCCTCTTGAGTAGCTGGGACCACAGGAATCCACCACCATGCCTGATTTAACTTTTTTTTTTTTTTTTGAGAGACAGGGTCTCACTATGTTGCCCAGGCTGGTCTCTAACTCCTGGGCTTGAGTGATTCTCCTGCTTTGGCTTCCCAAAGTGCTGGGATCACAGATGTGAGCTGCTACACCCGGTCCAATAATAATAATTTTTAAAAGCCGTTGGCTCACCCTCATTCTCATGGCTGGTTGTCTAGAAGAATGCAGAAGAGAAGGAGATGGCTGCACCCTTGGGAGATGCCACCAATCCAAAGCTCTTCAGAAACAGTGGGGCCCTGGAAAGGTTAGCAGTGGGGAAGTGGAAAGAGGCTAAAACACAGAGAACAACCAGTGGAAAAGAATGCATCACCTACAAAAGAATGGCAATAGAGCCGGGCAAGGTGGCTCACGCCTGTAATCCCAGCACTTTGGGAGGCCGAGGCGGGCGGATCACAAGGTCAGGAGATCAAGACCATCCTGGCTAACATGGTGAAACCCATCTCTACTAAAAGTACAAAAAATTAGCCTGGCGTGGTGGTGGGTGCCTGCAGTCCCAGCTACTCGGGAGGCTGAGGCAGGAGAATGGTGTGAACCTGGGAGGCGGAGCTTGCAGTGAGCCGAGATCGTGCCATTGCACTCCAGCCTGGGCAACAGAGTGAGACTCTGTCTCAAAAAAAAAAAAAAAGGAGAGGGGATAGAATAGCAGCAAGGCTGTCCATAGCAGAAAGGGAAGCCAGAGAGAAAATAACTATTCACCTAGAATCCTCTAAATAGTGACACTACTGTTCATGCAGAAGGGCAAAATTAAAGACTTTTTCTCAAACTGCCATGACAACCCTTGACAGAAACTGACCTCACTCTGAGGCCCACTCAAATGGACACTTCAATAAACAGATGTTGAACCCTGAGAAGGAATCATAAGCGAGGAAATCAGACCGTATGGGTAATTGCAGATGAGCTTGGAGTGCAGATACCACATATGGTAGGTGGAGACTTCAGGTTGACCCCAAATGCCCATGCACCCCCTTTCTCAGTCATCGAGTCCCTGATTTCTACTGGATGGAGGCCTGCCCAGATAAAGACCACCTTTTTCAGCCTCCCTGGCAGCTGGGAATGGCCAACAGGGTAGGAGTAGACTTGGTGCTTGTATCTCTGGGAATGATCCTTCATTCTCTCCTCCCCTAATACTGCTGTAATTGGGCCGGAGGACCATGCTATAGTTTGAAGGTGTCCCCTAGAAGTTCACATGTTGGAAACTTGCAACAGTATTTAGTGGTGGGGCCTCTAAGAGGCGAGTAAGTTCCGCCCTCTTGAATGGATTAATGCCAATATCACTGGAATGGGTTTGTTTTCACAAGAATGGGCTCCTGATAAAAGGATAAATTTGGCCCCCAATTTCTCTCTGTCTTGTGTACTTGGCTTGCCCTGCATGGTATAAATGCAGCAAGAAGGCCCTCACCAGGTGCCTGTGCCATGCTCTTGGACTTCACCACCTCTGGAACCATGAGCCAAATACATTTCTGTTCATTAAAATTATTCAGTTTGTGGCATTCTGTTATAGCAGCAGAAAACAGACTAATACAGGCCATTATCTTGGACATAATGCTATTGCTCCTCTGTCTTTAGAAGAGGAGAAACCCCTGCCCAACTTGCCCTGGCTCCTTCCCCACGGGCTTGCTTTCTTTTCTTTTTTTCTTTTTCCTTTTTTCAGGGTCCTGCTCTGTCACTCAGCTTGGAGTGCAGTGGTGTGATTATGGCTCACTGCAGCCTCACCCTCCCAGGCTCAAGCAATCTTCCTGCTTCAGCCCCCCAACTAGCTGGGACTACAGGTACATGCCACCACACCATCTCTTTAAAGCAAATCCCCATCTCTTTTTTTTTTTTTTTAATTCTTTTTTTTTGAGACGGAGTCTCGCTCTGTCACCCAGGCTGGAGTGCAGTGGCCGGATCTCGGCTCACAGCAAGCTCCGCCTCCCGGGTTCACGCCATTCTCCTGCCTTAGCCTCCCAAGTAACTGGGACTACAGGTGCCCGCCACCTCGCCCGGCTAGTTTTTTGTATTTTTTAGTAGAGACGGGGTTTCACCATGTTAGCCAGGATGGTCTCGATCTCCTGACCTCGTGATCCGCCCGTCTCGGCCTCCCAAAGTGCTGGGATTACAGGCTTGAGCCACCGCGCCCGGCCCCCATCTCTTAAAAAAAAAAAAAAATCCGCAAAGTTCCAAAAAACAAACCTCGAATTTGTGCACTGAATCCACACAAGTAAAGTGATGTTATAGGCATTGTACTAGGTATTTTAAGTAATCTAGAAATGATTTAAACTACATTTAAACCAGGTGGTGAGGAAAAGTGGCTCATGTCTGTAACCCCAGCACTTCGGGAGGCCCAGGCAGGAGGATCACTTGAGTCCAGGAGTTTGAGGCCGCATAGAAAGGGCAACATAGAAAGGCCCTGTCTCTACAAAAAAATGAACAAAATTAGCTGGGCATGGTGGCACATGCCTGTGGTCCCAGCTACTTAGAAGGCTGAGAAGGGAGGATTGCTTGAGCCCAAGAGGTTGAGGCTGCAGTGAGCCAAGTTTTTGCCACTCCTCTCCAGCCTGGGCAATAGAGCAAGACCCCATCTCAAAATGTTTTTAAAAGTATCTGGCCAGGCACAGTGGCTCACACCTGTAATCCCAGCACTTTGGGAAGCTGAGGCAGGCAGATCAACTGTCGGGAGTTTGAGACCAGCCTGACGAACATGGAGAAACTCTGTCTCTACTAAAAATACAAAATTAACCAGGCATAGTGGCACATGCCTGTAATCCCAGCTACTCAGGAGGCTGAGGCAGGAGAATCGCTTGAACCCAGGAGGCGGAGGTTTTGGTGAGCTGAGATTGTGCCATTGCACTCCAGCCTGGGCAACAAGAGCGAAACTCCGACTCAAAAAAAATAAAAATAAATAAAAATAAAAAGTATATGGCAGGATGCGTACAGGTTCTGTGCAAGTAGCATGCTACTTTTTTTTTTGAGATGGAGCCTCGCTGTGTCTCCCGAGCTGGAGTGCAGTGGCGCGATCTCAGCTCACTGCAAGCTCTGCCTCCCGGGTTCACACCATTCTCCTGCCTCAGCCTCCCGAGCAGCTGGGACTACAGGCGCCCGCTGCCACGCCCAGCTAGTTTTTTGCATTTTTTAGTAGAGACAGGGTTTCACCGTGTTAGCCAGGATGGTCTCGATCTCCTGACCTTGTGATCCTCCCGTCTCAGCCTCCCAAAGTGCTGGGATTACAGGTGTGAGCCACCACGCCCGGCCTAGCATGCTACTTTACATCAGGGACTGGAGCCTCTGCAGATTTTGGTATCCATGGGGTCCTTGAACCAGTCCTCTGCAGGTGCTGAGGGCCAGCTACTCATGCAGCTGGGAAGGGCATGAGTCTTGGTGTTCCACAGATCGGGGCTTGAGTTCTAGCTTTGACCCTTGTTGTGTGACCTTCAGTAAGTTATTTCACCTCTGTGAGCCTCAGTTTCCTCCTGTGTGAAGTGAAGATTATAATGGAACTCATGGTATAAGAGTTCCAGGGGATAAGGAGATGGTGTCTATGTGGCGAAGTGGAGCAGCACGGCCAGGGCCACCCAGGTCACAGTGCTGAGAGGCGAGCAGAGGCACAGGAGGACTGTGAGCATCAGGCCTGATGGCCCAGGGAGTCCCGGCAGTGGTGATGTGTGAAGGACAGACCTTTGGGGCTCCCTGCCTTGGGCATGAGCCCTCTGCCCTCAAAGGCCTCATTAGGAGCTAGTGTCACCCTTGACTTCCCCCAGCCCCACTCCCCACATCCAGTTGGCCACCCTGTCCTGTGGTTTGTACCTCCTAAATATCCCTCCAGTGTTTTCCTGTGTATCTGCAGTGGCCTCTGAGCTTCCACAGAGTAGCAGGAGGGGACGTGTCATTGCTGCTGACAGCGTACCACAGCTGCACAATGTCCCCAGCCTGGCCTGCAGTTCCCGCATGCTCCAGTCTGCCCACTGGCCTGCCCACCCTGTCTGGGCTGCTCTGACCCCTTCCAGATCCTCAGACGTGCCAAGCTTCGTCCTGCCACAGGGCCCTGGTGTAGCCTGTTCTCTCTGCTTGGAACACTCTCTTCTCTTCTGCCCTGCTCCTCCTGGCTTCTGCTGCTCACTCTCCCTGGCTCCCTTCAGGGAAGCCTGCCCTGGCCACACCCCACCCTTTTGAGCTCTCATGTGCACAGCCGCACCCCGCCCATGGCAGGACTCACCCCGCTGCGTATCTGTGGTCACAGGCACGAGGTTTTGACCGCATCTCATTTGCCTTGGCTCCGGGGCTGCAGCTCTGCAGCTCTGCAGCTTTCTCAGCGCCGTGTGTCCCCAGTGCTTGTAACCGATGATGAGCTCAACACAAGAGGCTTCAGGCACAGCCCTTGCCAGGCAGCGAAGGGGAGCATGAGGAGCAGGTGAGGTCACTAGACTGGCACACGGGCTCATTTCAGGAGACTCTTGAAGCTCTTCGAATCGGCACTTTAAATCTAGGTCGAATAGTACATCAATACCTTCTCTTAAGAAGGGAAAGACAGCCGGGCGCGGAGGCTCAAGCCTGTAATCCCAGCACTTTGGGAGGCCGAGACGGGCGGATCACGAGGTCAGGAGATCGAGACCATCCTGGCTAACACAGTGAAACCCCGTCTCTACTAAAAAATACAAAAAACTAGCCGGGCGAGGTGGCGGGCGCCTGTAGTCCCAGCTACTCGGGAGGCTGAGGCAGGAGAATGGCGTGAACCCGGGAGACAGAGCTTGCAGTGAGCCGAGATCCGGCCACTGCACTCCAGCCTGGGCAACAGAGCGAGACTCTGTCTCCAGAAAAAAAAAAAAAAAAAAAAAAAGAAGGGAAAGACAGCCGGGCGCGGTGGCTCACGCCTGTAATCCCAGCACTTTGGGAGGCCGAGACAGGCGGATTACAAGGTCAGGAATTTGAGACCAGCCTGGCTAACATGGTGAAACCCCACCTCTACTAAAAATAAAAAAATTAGCTGGGCGTGGTGGTGGGTGCCTGTAGTTCCAGCTACTTGGGAGGCTGAGGCAGGAGAATCGCTTGAACCGGGGAGGCAGAGGTTGCAGTGAGCCAAGATCGCGCCATTGCACTCTAGCCTGGGTGACAAGAGTGAGACTCCATCTCAAAATAAATAAATAAATAAATAAATAAATAAATTTTTTTTTTTTTTTTTTTTTTTGAGACGGAGTCTGGCTCTGTCGCCCAGGCTGGAGTGCAGTGGCGAGATCTCGGCTCACTGCAAGCTCCGCCTCCCGGGTTCACGCCATTCTCCTGCCTCAGCCTCCCGAGTAGCTGGGACTACAGGCGCCCACAACCGCGCCTGGCTAATTTTTTTGTATTTTTAGTAGAGACGGGGTTTCACCGTGGTCTCGATCTCCTGACCTTGTGATCCGCCCGCCTCGGCCTCCCGAAGTGCTGGTATTACAGGCGTGAGCCACCGCGCCCGGCCAATAAATTTATTTTAAGAAATAAAAGAAGGGAAAGACGTTGTTGCTCATGTCCCAGCGCTCCCGTGGGGCGTGTCTGCACTTTTGGGGATGGGGAGAGTGATGCTGAATTGAAGTTTCTCTGAAATAAGTCAGGGAGTGGGAATGAGACTGTGTGTGTGTGTGTGTGTGTGTGTGTGTGTGTGTGTGTGTGTGTGTGTGAGAGAGAGAGAGAGAGAGAGATAGGATACAAAGAGAGAGAGAGAGGCAGAAGATTCTGTCTTCCTAAGAGCCTTGGGACAGAACGGGAACTAGGTGTCAGGAGAGAGAAGGTGAAAGGGGAGGCGCAGTCCTGCCAGCCGCCTCTCGTCCCTGGGGCCTCTGTTCCTATTCCTCCCTGTATGCTCTCGCCTGCAAGTGAGGCATAGCACATCTAAGACCAGACAGCCCTTCCCTGCTCCAGCCCTGGACTACCTTGGATTCAACATGGTGGTTCCTGTCCCACCTTATGTGAGGAAAACACAGGTTAGAGGAGACATGTGTGGATAGGTGTCAGCCAGGAAACAGAGACACACACTGGTGCCAATGCCCGTGGGCATAACCACTCGGCTCCCTGGCCTTGTGCCCATAGGTACGAGGTTGTGCATACACCACCAGGGTGTCCACAGAGGCCAGGAAGTTGCAGGTTAAGACGGGGGTCAGAAAGTGGAGACTGTACACAATCATGGTGACCCCTAGAGCTTTGCCAGGCTGAGGTGACACTGCAGAATGAGTTGCAGCCCTCCTGGTCTTCCTAGGTGCCCGGCCTTTTTGGGCCCCACTTGTGCCCAAGGCCGTTCAGGATAGTGACACCAGCTGTAGCCAATAAAGAATGGACGATGGATATCTGCCCAAGAGTGTCACTGTGCCGTGATGAGCCAAGGCCCCAAAAGACACCCTCCTGGCCTAAGATCATGTTTCTACTCACTTTTAAAAACCTTTTATTTTAGAATGATTTGATATTTGTAGAAAAGTTACAAAGACAGTACAGAAAGTTCCTCTAGACGCCCCCCGACCCAGTTCCCCCACTGTTAACTTCTTACATCACCACGGCACACTTGTCATTACTGAGAAACCAATGCTGAAGCAGGCAGTGTGATGCTTCCAGCTTTATTTTTAATTTCTCCAGGTTGCTTTGGCTATTCAGAGATTTTTGTGGCTCCCTGTGAATTTGAGAACTTTTTTTCTATTTCTATGAAAACTGCCGTCGGAATTTTAATAGGGATTGCGTTGAATCTGTAGATCATTTTGGGTAGTATTGTCCATTTTAACAATATTAATTCATCCAATCCATGAACATAGGATGTCTTTCCATTTATTCGTGTCTTCAACTTTTTCATCACTTTCTTTTTGTTTTGTTTTGTTTTGTTTGATCTTGAGATGCAGTTTCACTCTTGTTGCCCAGGCTGGAATGCAGTGGTGTCATCTCAGCTCACTGCAACCTCTGCCTCCCGGGTTCAAATGATTCTCCTGACTCAGCCTCCCCAGTAGCTGGGATTACAGGTTTCCACCACCATACTCAGCTAATTTTTTGTATTTTTAGTAGAGATGGGGTTTCACCATGTTAGCCAGGCTGGTCTCAAACTCCTGACCTCAGGTGATCCACCCACCTCAGCCTTCCAAAGTGCCGGGATTACAGGTGTGAGGCATCAGGCCCGACTTCATCAATGTTTTATAGTTTCCAGTATACAGGTCTTTCATCTCTTTGGTTAAATTGATTCCTAAGTACTTTATTATTTTGGATGCCTTTATAAATGGTATTTTTTTTTTTTTTTTTGCTTTCCTTTTCAGCTGTCTCATTATTAATATAAAGAAATAGAACTGATTTTTTTTTTTTTTTTTAAGAGAGAGAGACAGGGTCTTGCTGTGTGGCCCAACCTGGTCTCAAACTGGCCTTAAGCAATCCTCCTGCCTCAGCCTCCCAAAGTGCTGGGATTACAGGTGCGAGCCACTATGCCCAGCCAGAACTGATTTTTGTATGCTGATTTTGAATCCTGTGAATTTATTCTGAATTTGTTTGCTAGTTCAACTAACAATTGTTTTGTGGAGTCTTCAGGGTTTTCTACTAATAGACTCATGTCATAGCAAACAGAGATAATTTTACTTCTTCCTTTCTAATTGAGATTGCTTTTATTTATTTTTTCTTGTCTGATTCCTCTTGCTAGTACTTCCAGAGCTATGTTGAATAGAAGAGACAAGAGTGAGCGTATTGTCTTGTTCCTGACTTTAAAGCAAAAGCTTTCAGTTTAGCTGAAAGTTAGCTGTTTTGGTTTCACTGTTGGCTTTTCATAAATGGCCTTTATTATATTGAGGGAATTTCCTTGTATATCTAAACTGTTGAAAGTTTTTATCAAGAAAGGATGTTGAGGCTGGGTGTGCTGGCTCATGCCTGTAATCCCAGCACTTTCGGGGGCCAAGGCGGCTGGATCCCTTGAGCCCAGGAGCTCAAGACCAGCCTGGGCAACATGGTGAAAACCCATCTCTACAAAAAATACAAAAATTAGCCAGGTGTGGGCCGGGCGCAGTGGCTCAAGCCTGTAATCCCAGCACTTTGGAAGGACGAGGCGGGTGGATCACGAGGTCAGGAGATCGAGACTATCCTGGCTAACATGGTGAAACCCCGTCTCTACTAAAAATACAAAAAACTAGCCGGGCGTGGTGGCGGGCGCCTGTAGTCTCAGCTACTTGGGAGGCTGAGGCGGGAGAATGGCATGAACCCAGGAGGCGGAGCTTGCAGTGAGCCGAGATCACGCCACTGCACTCCAGCCTGGGAGACACAGCGAGACTCCGTCTCAAAAAAAAAAAAAAAAAAAAAAAAAAAAAAAAAAAATTAGCCAGGTGTGGTGACACATGCCTGTAGTCTCTGCTACTTGAGAGGCTGAGGCGGGAGGATTGCTTTAGCATGGGAGGCAGAGGCTGCAGCGAGTCATAATTGTGCCATAGCCCTCCAGCCTGGGTAACAGAGTGGCCCTATCTAAAAAAAAAAAAAAAAAATATATATATATATATATATAGAGAGAGAGAGAGAGAGAGAGAGAGAGAGAATATATAGAGTATATATATACTATACTGTATAAACACTATAGTGTATTTACTATATACTATTATTTACTATATACCATACATACTACATACACTATAGTGTACTTACTATATATTGTATACTAAAGCTATAGTGATCAAAGTAGGATGGTCCAGACACATAGACCAGTGGAAAGTCAGCCCAGAAATAAACCCAAGCAGATACAGTCAACTAATTTTCAATAAGGGTGCCAAGAGAACTGTATTAGTCTGTTCTCACTCTGCTATCATGTGCAAGAACCTGAGACAGGGTAATTTCTAAACAGGTGTAATCGGCTCACGGTTCTGCAGGCTGTACAGGCTTCTGCTTCTGGGAATACCTCAGGAAACTTACAATCATGGCTGAGGTGAAGGAGAAGCAGTCACGTCTACCTGGCAGGAGGAGGAAGAGAGAGTGAAGGGAGAGGCGCTACACACTTTCAAACAACCAGATCTCGTGAGAACTCTATCACAAGACAGCACTGGGGGGACGGTGCTAAACCATTAGAAACACTCCCCCATGATCTGATCACCTCCCGCCAGACCCCACCTCCAACAATGGGGATTACCATTCAACATGGGATTTGGGTGAGGACCAGAGCCAAGCCATATGAAGGACACAATGGGGAAAGTACAGTCTCTTCAATAAATGATGTTGAGAAGACTGGATATCCATGTACAAGAGAATGCAATTAAGCCCTTATCTTACACCATACAAAACATCAACTCAAAGTGAATTAAAGACCTAAATGTAAGACCTGAAACCATAAAACTCCTAGAAGAAAACAGGGGGAAGGCTCCTTGTCATTGGCTTTGGCAATGACTTTTTAGATATCACACCAACACACCAAAAGCTCAGGCAACAAAAGCATAAAATAAACAAATAGGACTACATAAAACCAAAAAGCTTCTCACAGCAAAGGTAATAACTGACAAAATGAAAAGGCAAACC